TCTTGGGGGCATCTCTCAAGGATGAGGTTTTGAAGATTATGCCAGTGTAAAAACAGACCTGCGCTGGCCAGCGGACCAGGTTCAAGGCGTTTGTTGCCATGGGGGACTACAATGGCCATGTCGGCCTGGGTGTTAAATGTTCCAAGGAAGTAGCCACTGCCATCCTAGGGACCATCATCCTGGCCAAGCTCTCTATTGTCCCAGTGCAGAGAGGCTACTAGGGGAATAAGATCGGCAAGCCTCACCCTGTTCCTTGCAAGGTGATAGGTCACTGTGGCTCTGTGCTGGTACGTCTCATCCCTGCTCCTAGAGGAACTGGCATTGTCTCAGTGCCTGTGCCTAAGTAGCTGCTAATGATGGCTGGGATTGATGACTGCTACACTTCAGCCAGGGGCTGTACTGCCACCCTGGGCAACTTTGCCAAGGCCACTTTTGATGCCATTTCCAAGACCTATAGCTATCTCACTCCTGATCTCTGGAAAAAGACAGTGTTCACCAAGTCTCCTTACCAAGAATTCATTGACCATCTTGTCAAGACCCACACAGAGTCTCTGTGCAGAGGACCCAGGCTCCAGCTGTGGCTATAACATAGGGTTTTTATACAAGAATAAAGTGAATTAAGTCTGTTTAAAAAAAAAAAAAAAAAGAAATGGCGGGGAAAGGGGAGGAGAAAGGGTGATTGGTAAGTTTTCACCTAAGGTGCACAACATAAGGGTACACAGCATACCCACAAGTGATGGGCTCAACTACAACTTGAATTTTACCTAAAAAACACATCTAAAATTAAAAAAAAATAGTTTCAGCTGAAATTCAAAAACTTTTTTAAGTGTAAAAAAAATTAGCCAGGTCTGGTGGTATGCATCTGCAGTCCCAGCTACTCAAGAGGCTAAGGAGCAGGCTCACTAGAGCCCAGGAACACCAGTGCACTACAGCCTGGGTGAGAGAACAATATCCTGTCTCAAAAAAAATCCCTTTACCTGAAGCCAACACAGTTTCCCATGACGACACACATTGGCTCCTTCTGCTGCCACACTTAGGACACTCTGCTTCTTAATGTGGAGCATCTGGTTAGAAAAGGAAGAAAAGGAAAATGTTCCAAGGAATAAATGGTGGCATTATAACATTATGAATAACACAAGTAAATTAGCTGATGATAAAAAAAAGTGGATGTTTTAAACACATAAAATTTGACTAATCCAAAACAGAGGTCTGTTTCACATACACACATAAATCACCACTTGACACTTCTGATTCTCTTTTTGCAAAAATATCCCACAACTGGAAAATAAATCACTCATACCCCAAATGCGAATAAGAATTGAAAACTCAGGCACCTTTTGTTACTTTGAGCTGCTACCAAGGAAAATTCTAATCTTTAGGATGAGATTCCTAATGCAAACTTATGGTATACAACTAACACAGGGCAATTTACTGTACGTGAAGGGAACACATGTTATAGCTAGGTCTCACTGTAACTACTATTAAGAATGACAGCAACAGGCTTGGCGCCCATAACTCAGTGGTTAGGGCACTGGCCACATGCACTGGGGCTGGTGGGTTCAAACCTAGCCTGAGGCTACTAAACAAACAAACAACAACAAAAATTGCCGTGCATTGTGGTCCCAGCTATAAGGGAGGCTGAGGCAAGAGAACTGCTTAAGTCCAAGAGTTTGAGGTTGCTGTAAGCTGTGATGCCACAGTACTCTACAGAGGGTGACATAGTAAAACTGTCTCAAAAAAAAAGAATGACAGAAACAAGGACTCAACAGGTCCCTGAAAGCTTTGGATTCACTAAATTACTCTAAACTGAAACAGGAACACCCTCTTGTCCTTTGATGATCTATAATCTTATCCTATTTCAAATATTATGCAATTCTTTTTTTTTTTGAGACAGAGTATCACTATGTTACCCTCAGTAGAGTGCCATAGCATCACAGCTCACAGCAACCTCAAACTCCTAGGTTTAAGTGATTTTCTTGCCTCAGCCTCCCAAGTACCTGGGACTACAGGTACCTGCCTCAACACCCAGCTATTTTTAGAAACCAAGTCTTGCTCTGGCTTAGGCTGGTCTTAAACCTATGAGCTCAGGCAATCCATCTGCCTTGACCTCCCAGAGTGCTAGGATTACAGGTATGAGCCACTGTACCTGGCCTAATATTATGCAATTCTAAAATCTTTAATCTATAAGCCATAAAAATATATACATGATACAAGATTCTCCCCATTTTACACGTAGGCAAGTTACTTGATAATAGAAGGGCATAGTAATTTACACTAGCACTGTCTTCCTTCAGAGAGCGTAAAGGGTTCTACATTCCAAGTATCTCTCACCAATGATATGAAAAGGGGAGGCTGGGCCCAGCAGCTTACACCTTCATCCTAGCACTCTGGGAGGTCGAGACAGGTGGATGGCTTGAGACCAGCCTGAGCAAGAATGAGACAAGATCCCATCTCTAAAAAACAGCTGGGTGCTATGGTGAACACCTATAGTCTCAGCTACTTGGGAGGCTGAGGCAGAAGGATCACTTTAGCACAAGAGTTTGAGGTTGCTGTGGGCTATGATGAAGCCATAGCACTCTACCCAGGGTGACAAAGTGAGACTCTATCTCAAAAAAAAAAAAGAAAGAAAGAAAGAAAAGAAAAGGGGACTACATTTCACTTTCATCCAAAATAAATAAAAAAAGTTGTAGAATGGGTAACAAAAGCTATATTTCGGCTCAGCACCTGTAGCTCAGCAGCTAGGGTACCAACCACATACCCAGGAGCTGGCTGGTTCAAACCCACCCGGGACCTGCCAAACAATAATGACAACTACAACCAAACGAAGGCTATATTCCCCTAGTGATAAGAATTCTCAACTATTTCTTCAAACTTCTCTAGCACAAGTTCTTACCTCATTTTTTATTGTTGTTGTCATGGACCCTTTAAAAAATCTGTGATAAATAAGATTCTTGTAAAGAATCTTGTAAGAATTCTTACAAGTCTATGATCAAAACTATTATTATAACTCAACTAAGGATCTAAATAGACATTTCTCCAAAGAAATTATACAAATAGCCAGTAAGTTCATGGCAAAATGTTCATCATCATTAACCATAAAAGAAACAGAGATCAAAAC